GCCTCAATAAGACAATCAGTTGAACAGGCAAAAGGCTCCTTCTAGTATAAGCATAAAAATAAATTGCAAGTCACATAATATGGCTGCTAAAAATTCTAATTTATATTGAATAGCGATAATACCTTACACTGAAATTTTTTAATTTTTTTAAAATTTCAGATTAGCATAAAGATACAAGAATAGGTTACACTATTTACATTTGTTAGGTAAAGTCCAGGTCGTAGTTGAGCCCTTCACCCAGGATGAAATTTTTAGAATTTTAGTAACATGTTCTAAAACCTCTGAGTATCTCTGTTCTTTCAACAAAAGAAGCTTCCATTCCTTATGTTTTTAAAATTTACTTCTATTCCAAAAGCAATCGTAGTCTGTGTTCAGAACAGTACTGTAGCTTTCCTTTTTAAGTTTCTGCCTACTCTTTGGAATGCAGTGTAGCTGCAACGTACCTTACTTCAATGGCAGACAAGTTGAACTAGCATAATCCACAGATAAAATTATGTTTGTCCTACAATGTCTTCAAAATTTATACAATGAGTCAAGTTCTTCCCCTGCCCAAGAAGAAAACTCAGATGATCATGACCTTTTTGATAATTCTTAGGTAATAAAAATTTCTATATTTTGTTTAAGTTGGAAAACACAGTCTCAATCTGATACTTAGAACGTCAGTCCTGTGTTATCATTAAACTCCCAGCATCACTCCATGTTCTAGCTATTTCACCTGTGCCTGAATAAAGCCTACCTCCCGGAAATTGGCACTTTTTCTTTCTGGATCATCTCCTATCCAATTTGTCAGCAGCTAGCTCTGACCTTTCAGGATGGTGTTTCATCCTGAAATGGATAATTGCAAAGTAAAAAGAGGTAAGATCTGAAGAACACGAATGTTCTGATTTAAGTTAACTGACACTGTCATAGTGGGCATCTCATTCTGTAGATCTGAAAGATGTTAAGAAAAAATAACTACAAATGTTTGTTTTTTTTTTAAATGGCAAAAAAAAGAAAAGCTCTTTTCTTTTTTTTGCAGGGTGCCTATGGGGGATTGTGAAAACAGTCCTATTGTTGGAAAACCTTTTACCTTGACAAATATATTTCTACTTTGACTATTTATTTTACTTCTTTCCAGTCCTAAAAAAGCCAAGGATTCAAATGAAGGTTCTACCTCTTACGTTCTGTTTGGCATTCCAGGCAACCAGGTTGAACAATGTCTAATATCATTTCACAATGGCTGAACCTGAAGAATGCTATAGTAGTAAAGAATATCTACTTTTCATACCCGTATAACCTTGAATTCCAGGCCCTTTATTTCCTGATTTGTCTTGAAGAGACTAATTAACTCTGAGTCTCAATTTCCTTATCTATAAAACAATACACTATTTTATTTTATTTTATTTTTTGAGACAGAGTCTCACTATGTCGCCCTCAGTAGAGTGCTGTAGGGTCACAACTCACAGCAACCTCATACCCTTGGGCTTAAGCAATTCTCTTGCCTCAACCTCTCAAGTAGCTGGGTCCACAGGCACCCACAACAATGTCTGGCTATTTTCTTATTACAGTTATTTAGCCTGGCCCAGGCTGGGTTCAAACTCTCCACCCTCAGGGTATGTGGCTGGCGCTGTAACCATTGTTCTATAGGTGTTGAGCCATTGTCTTAATATTTTAATTAGAGTTCTCTAGTCATGATTCATAGAAGGATATAAATAATTGGAAGACTGGGGAAAATCTAATCCCAAAATAGCTGGGCATTGTGGCAGGTGCCTATAGACCCAGAAAAGAAATAATCAAAATTAAAGCAGAAATTAATGAAATTGAAAACAAAAGATTTCAGAAAATTAATGAAACAAAAGTTGGTTTTTTGAAAAAATAAAATCAATAAACCTTTGGCCAGATTAACTAGAAACAGAAAAGTAAAAATCTCTAATAACCTCAATCAGGAACGATAAACAGGAAATAACAACAGATACCACAGAGATACAAGAGATCATCTCTGAGTACTACAAGAAACTCTATGCCCAGAAATTTGATAATGTAGAGGAAATGGATCAATACCTGGAATCACACCCTCTCCCTAGACTTAATCAAAAAGAAACAGATCTCCTGAACAGACTGATTTTAAGAACTGAGATTGAAGAAGCAATAAAGTCTCCCAACCTTGGTCCACATGGCTTCACTCTAGAATTCTATCAAACCTTCAAAGAAGATATTAACACTGCCTTCGTAGCCCAATAAGTTAAGGATAATGAGCTTCATCTAACGTGAGAATCCACCATCATATTTTATGACAAATAATGCAACAGAACTCTGCTATAACATGACATCCTATTACCCAATAGAAAAAATAGTGTCTACACATGATAGCCTTCATCCCTGAAAAAGCCCTACTGTCACATATCAGAAGGTAATGTCCCATTGTCATGATGGATAAGCCTCAACATATCCTCAACCCTTTGCCTGACTTCTTCCTGTAATCAACCACAAATATACATGAGATTAATGATCTAGGTTTAAAAGGACATTATGATGTATGATTATGAAAGAGAATAAAACTTCAGACTCACAGAGACTAAATCTATGTCTGGCCTCATTAATGGTCCATTTTATTAATAACTAACCCAATAGTGAACAAAAAAATTCTGGAGGAAGTATAGACAATATTATGTCTTGACTTTGTAATTAACATTTCACATATGTTTTCTATAGGGAGAAGTCACCAAATCAATCTACACTGTTTGTGTGTATAACCAGTAAGATTAAGAAAAGTCCTAGATTCTCGACTTCATTACAGAAGCTAGTAAACAGTAATTTTACAGTTGATAAAATGTACATATTTTAATTGCCAGCAACAGAACTTTGAAAGTCTCTGTTCAGACATTTTAAAAAATCTATTAAACAAGTTATACATTGAATGAGGGCCAAGTCTCAACTCAAAAAAGTATCACATGAGATAAAACATACAGCAAAAGAGAAGCAAGAAACCATCTATCCTCTGCTTCAGGGAAACAGAAGAGCATCAGAATTAGTGATGTTAGAGAGTCTGGAGCCTTATGAAAGTGACCAGTGAACATCACAGCCACCCTCTGATCTCACCATCGCTGGGATAGCACTAGTGAGAGAGCTCTTGACAGCTTCCATTCTGGTTTATTCTGGTGCTCAGGCTAGTAATACATGTATTCCAAAATGCTTGTTTTAACATAATAGACAAGAACATCTAAATGTACAATCTGTACTTCTGGAGATTTTACCCTTAGCTCGATGCATTGCCTTTTGACAAACATTTAGCTCAGCAAATTTTATTTCTCTACGCTAAGGAATTTTCTAGCTCTAAAAGACCTTTTAAATACTTTGGCAGAGATTCATTCATCTTAGTAAAACAATAGCTGGAAAATATACACAGTCTACAGGAAATCAGGGTAACAACTTAGGTCGTTGTTGTAGGTGAGCTACTCAGCAAACTTTGATTTGTCCTCTTCAGAATGAAGATTTGTTTTCCTAAATGAAAGTACATGATTTCTTCTTATTCTGTATTCTAAAAGTCAATAAACAAATCATCAAATAAAATCTGGTTTATACTAGCTTTCATGATTCACATCTGGGATTTGTAGCTCACAACAGTACTTTCCACCACAATATTGCTCTAAAAATAATCCTAGAACCTAGTAAATCAAAGGAAAATAATATAGTTTATTAGGGTTAGTTGTCAACACTTACTTATAGTTTATTAGGGTTAGTTGTCAAAAATCTTCTCTACTTTACCTATCTTTACCTCCCTGTAATTTTGATACCTGACCTCTACTCAGTAAAATATGAGCATTTAAGATAACGTCTTTTAGGCTTGGCGCCTGTAGCACAGTGGTTACAGTGCCAGCCACATATACCGAGGTTGGCGGGTTCAAACCCAACTTGGGCCAGCTAAACAATAACTGCAACCAAAAAATAGCCAGGCATTGCGGCGGGCACCTGTAGTCCCAGCTACTTGGGAGGCTGAGGCAGAGAATCACTTAAGCCTAAGAGATGAAGGTTGCTGTGAGCTATGAAACCACAGCACTCTACCCAAGGAGACACAGTAAGACTCTGTGTCAATAAAATAAAATAAAATATGTCTTTTAAACAGCTAAAAAAAGAATTGAGTATAGTCTTTTATTATACTCAATTCTTTCACTTAGAGATCAGAAGGAAAGATACAAGTAAAATCAGATCTGGGTTGACTTGTCCCCATATGCCAATTAGCTGCTGGTTCTTTGTTATCCAAGAATGGTTTCCACATTATATCAGGATTTCAGAGAAAGTTCCAAGAGGTCAGAAGCCACCCTTTTCTTGCTCACCATTGCATCTTCCAACCTAGCCTAGCTCCTGAAATGCAGGAAACATTAAGTTCAAGTTAGTTAGACAAATAAAGCAGGAGACTCTCCCCAAACCCATCTTTTCTTTTCTATTTTCTTTTTCTTTTTTCTTTTTTTTTTTTGCACCATTTATTGAATATGGAGTAGATTAGGTGGTTGTAAGATGTTAGATTCATTTCCTGGTTTTCTATTCGATTCCAAATGTCTGTCTCTATTTTTGTGCCAGTACCATGCTGTCTTGACCACTATGGCTTTGTAGTACAGCCTAAAATCTGGTATGGTGATGCCCCTAGCTTTGTTTTTATTACTAAGAACTGCCTTAGCTATACGGGGTTTTTTCTGGCTCCATACAAAACGCAGAATCATTTTTTCCAAGTCTTGAAAGTACGATGTTGGTATTTTAATAGGGATGGCTATCCTCTGCTATTTCCTTTCTTAGGGTTTCATAATTCTCTTTATAGAAATTCTCTTTATAGAAGAGGTCCTTCACCTCTTTTGTTAGGTATATTCCTAGGCATTTCATTTCCTTTGAAGCTATGGCGAAGGGAATTGTGCCCTTAATTAGCCTCTCATCTTGGCTGTTATTGGCATATACAAAGGCTACTGCCCTGTGGACGTTGATTTTATATCCTGAGACATTACTGTATGTTTTCTTTTTTTGAACTTTGCAAAAATATGGAATGCCGCATGAATTTGCGTTCGTGAAGCAGGGGCCATGCTAATCTTTTCTATATCGATCCAATTTTAGTATATGTGCTGCCAAAGCAAGCACCATGTTTTGATAACTTTCAGGAGTCTTATGGTTTAAAGTCATCTTTTCCACCTTCTAAAATTAAATCTGTATCAGCATTACCCATCTCACTTATGGAATAATTTCTAGAAAGACGTAATATATTACATAGGTGACATTTGGTTCCTGGCAGCAGGTTCAGATTTGTATGGCAGAGTCGCTATCGGGCACTGACCATTAGTCTGAAATCCAGCTCCCACACACATGCCATATACTTAATGTCTTAATTGTCACTCCTAATAGAATGTAAATGCATGAGGTTAGGTATTTATTTCATCCTAGCCTATGCTCCTACTGCCAAAAGCAAAGTGTGGCACACAGCAGATGTTCATTTTATTTGTTGGATGGATGGATGGACAGATGGATGGATGGAACAAATAAGATCCAAAAACAATAGAAGAGAAGAAACTCAGTGGGCTGCCATGGGAGAAGAGCTTAGGGAATAAAAGATAATACAGGGGCATTGTGCATTGAATTCTGTCCCCCAAAAGATATGCTTATGAACTTTCTATCCTCTGGTACCTGTGAATTTGATTTTATTTGGAAATGATCTGTGCAATGTAATTACATTAAGATCTGGTCATACTAATCCAGTGTGACTGCTGTCATGAGAAGAAACTCAGACACACACCAACAGAGGATAGCCACATGAAGACAAAGGCAGAGATTGGAATTATACTGCCATGAGCCAAGAAACGCCTGGCACTACCATAAACTGGAAGGTGCCTGGATGGATCCTCCCACAGACACTTCAGAGTTTGCATGGTCCTGCCATTGTCTTGATTTCTGACTTCCAGCCTCAAGAATTATGACAGAATAAAATTTTGTTGTTCTAAGCCACAGTCTGTGGAATTTTGTTACAACAGCCCTAGGAAACTAAAACAACTGGGTATAATAAAGAAAGGGTTTGTTAAGGGACAGAGTAGAAGATACTAAAGACAGACTTTGCCTACCTAAAACATTTGCCATTGTAGTCAACCAAAAGTGATTATATAAGAAAAAAAAACAATAAATAACATATGTACTGGGAGTTTTAAAAAAGAAATTCTTACAGAATTCTTATTAAAAAACAGTGATTTTTCTTAGTTTAGTAAATTACTCTCATTTTTTTCTAATTTTTACTACAACTATTTGCCTAACAAATGCTTTCTTCAGACTCACTAATAAATAGAAAAGTCTGACACCAAAGTTCTCTGTTCTCCCAAGACAGAAGTGAATGAGCTCCTTCAGACCTGTTTTATACGGGCACTAATCCCACTCATGAGAGTTCTGCCTTCATGACCTAATCATCTTTCAAAAGGCTCCACCTCCTCATATCATCAAATTGGTTATTAGGTTTCAACATATGAATCTGGAGGACATATAAACATTCAGACCATGGCAGAAATTAGAATGGATTTTTAAGCAAATTTTCCCTGTGAGAGCTATGAAAGTCCTTCCTATCCCTATCACATTCTGTTAATTCTGGAATTATATCCCATTAGATAATATTTACCTTTGGGGGCTAATAAAAATATATGTTAGTTTTTATCTTAATATTAGTAAAATTTAGAAGTTTCACTATTGTAGCTTTTGTTAGCAAGGATTGTTTATTCTTCCTTTTACATTTTTTACAAAATTCAAGATCTTAATGTCTAATTCAATACCAAGCAAATATTTTATCCTCCTATATTATTTTTTAAGTTTAAAAAGAAGGGGAATTTTAGAATGAGGTGTATAATCTAGATAAGTGAGAAACTAGTCAAAAAGATACACTAGATGAAAAGGTAACAAGAAAAAAGAATTCAATTAATTCACAGTAACAAAAACTACACTACTTTAATGAATATAAGTTACAGAAATTTTAAGTTGGTTTACTACAAATGAATTAAAGAACTAGAAAAAAATGAATTTGTACCTTAAACGGCTCTTCTTTCTAGCCACAAACAACTTCCATTCAGATTAATATTTTGCCTCTGGGCTCAGCACCTGTGGCTCAAGCGGCTAAGGCCCCAGCCACATACACCTAAGGTGGCGGGTTTGAATCCCCAGCCCGGGCCCACCAAACAACAATGATGGCTGCAAACAAAAAATGGCGGGCGCCTGTAGTCCCAGCTACTTGGGAGGCTGAGGCAGGAGACTCGCTTAAGCCCAGGAGTTGGAGGTTGCTGTGAGCTGTGACACCATGGCACTCTACCCAGGGGGATAGCTTGAGGCTCCATCTAAAAAAAAATATTTTGCCTCTGATTATAATAGTTAACATCTAAATACATGGGTGATACTATAAGGAAGACAAAAGATAGGGAAAAAAATGATAATTAGTTTTAGCTGAGACATTTCAATGTTTTAAAAAAGAAAATTTATTATAGAATTATCTTTAAGAAAAAACAGTTTTCCATTTAACTAAAACAATTTAGATAAACTCTAAATTTATAAAGATATCAGACTTACATTTACGGTCAACTAATTTTTGAAAAGGGTGCCAAGACCATTCGATAGGGAAAAATATCTTTTCAACAAAGTGTGCCAAGGCATCTATTCATAAGACAAAAAAAAAGTTATGTTGAATCCTTACTTTGTACCGTATATAAAAATAGACTCAAAATGGCACATACTTCTCGGCACCCATAACTCAGTGGTTATAGCGCCTGCCACATACACAGAGGCTAGCAGGTTTGAACCTGGCCCAGGCCAGCTAATAACAATGACAACTGCAACAAAAAAATAGCCAGGTGTTGTGGCCCAGCTACTTGGGACACTGAGGCAAGAGAATCATTTAAGCCCAAGAGTTTGAGGTTACTGTAAGTTATGACACCATGACACTCTACCAAGGGTGACAAAGTGAGACTCTGTCTCCCCCTCCCCCCAAAATGGCACATAGATCTAAATTTAAGAGCTAAAAACTACAAAACCCTTCAAAGTGAAAACAGCAAACCTTCCTTACTTTGGATTAAGCAACATTTCTACATATGTATCACCAAAAGTAAAAGCAGCAAAATGCAACAAAATAAATGAACAACCTCAAAGGACACCATCAGAAAATGAAAAGACAACTCACAGAATGGGAGAAAACATTTGCAAATTACGTGTGTGAAAGGGATTTGTAGGCTTGGCACCCGTAGCACAATGGTTATAGCACCAACCACATACACAGAGGGTGGCAAGTTCAAACCCAGGCCAGGCCAGCTGAACAACTGCAACAACAACAAAAAAAATAGCCAGGCATTGTGGCAGGCACCTGTAGTCCCAGCTACTTGGGAGGCTGAGGCAAGAGAATCGCTTAAGCCCAAGAATTTGAGGTTGCTATGAGCTGTGACACCATAGCACTCTACCAATGGCAACATAGTGAGACTCTGTCTCAAAATAAAAAAAAAAAAGTTATATATCCAGAAGACCAAAAATCACATTATAACAAAGATATTTGTACCAGAATGGTTATTGCAGCACAATTCATAATTGCTAAGTCATGGAAGAAGCCCAAGTGTCCACTGACCCACAAATGGATCAATAAATTGTGGTATATGTACACCATGGAATATTATGCAGCCTTAAAGAAAGATGGAGACTTTACCTCTTTCATGTTTACATGGATGGAGCTAGAACATATTCTTCTTAGCAAAGTATCTCAAGAATGGAAGAAAAAGTATCCAATGTACTCAGCCCTACTATGAAACCAATTTATAGCTTTCATGTGAAAGTTATAACCCAAGTATAGCCCAAGAAGAAGGGGAGAGGGAGGAGAGGGGAGGTGGGAGGATGGGTCAAGGGAGGGTAATCAGTGGGACCACAGCTACAGTGTATCTTACAAGGGTACATGTGAAATTTATTAAATGTAGAATATAAATGTCTTAAGAAAATGCCGCGAAGGCAATGTTAACCAGTTTGATGAAAATATTTCACATTGTATATAAAACCAGCACATTGTACCCCATGATTGCATTAATATACACAGCTATGATTTAATAAAAAAAAGAAAGAAAAAAAATAAAACAGACTTGTATACAGAATATATTAAAAACTCTTAAAACTCTATAATAAAAAGACAAATAAACTAATTTTAAAATGGGCAAAAAGTTGGGACAGACATTTCTCCAAACAAGTTATATAACTAACCCAATAAATACCTGAAAAGATGTTTACCACCAAAAGAACTGTTTTCTTTCTTTCTTTTTTTTTTTTTTTTTTTGAGACAGAGCCTCAACCTATCCTCCTGGGTAGAGTACCATGGCATCACAGTTCACAGCAACCTCCAACTCCTGGGCTCAAGCGAGTCTCCTGCCTCAGCCTCCCAAGTAGCTGGGACCACAGGCACCCGCCACAACACCCAGCTATTTTTGGTTGCAGCCGTCATTGTTTTGGCGGGCCAGGCTGGATTTGAACCCACCACCTTAGGTGTATGTGGCTGGCACTTTAGCTGCTTGAACCACAGGCGCCAAGCCTCTTTCTTTTTTTTAAAGAGACAGGGACTCCCTATGTTGCCCAGGTAGTCTCAAACCACCATCTCTGTACCACACTCCCCCACAAAGAAACATAAATCTGGGTATGAGTTTTCAATTATTCTTTTTACCTCTCCTATGTTATACCCTTATTTTCAATAATTCCCATCTGTCATTCTCCATAAGCTTAAAAGGAAATTAGGCATCCTAGTACAAGTCACCTCCTATTACTTTGCTTTGTTTACTAATGCCTGAAGGAAAAGACTAATACTTCCTTGACATCTAAGCTATAGCTATAATTTTAGTTTCTTCATGAGATCGTCCTTTATATGATAATATGAAATTGCAAAATGCCAATTTAATATTCGAAAAATCAACATCTTTTCATACGATACAAAACAAAAAGCCACACTAAATTAAAGATAGTTGTACATTTACTGTTTCTATGCTATTGTAATCTCCCGAAAAATAAGTCATGTTTAATTTGTATCTGTTGTTCAGTAATGTGACAATGTATAGAAAACTGTATGTATGTAGTTTTCTAATTAGCAAGCAACCTAGAAGGTA